CGGTAGTTGCTTCCGGCAGGGCGCCTGCCATACAGGTTTCCTACAAGTTCCAAAACCACGTCTTTCAACGGATCTACCGACATGTACAATGCTTTGGTTTCGAAGTCTTGGGCATCCAACCAAGCGTAGAAATGCGGCAGGTATTCGGGAGGCATGCGCATGAACACTGGTTGACCGTTACTGTCACCTGAATCTGCGCCTAAGAGATACGCACATCTGACGTCTCCGGAGCGGGAGTGCCACCCATTACGGAGGCATTTGAGCTCGAGAAGAATGTGAGATTCTTCGTACGGAGTTGGTGCAAACGTGTTGGTTTCTTCGGCGAGTTCTTCTTTGGAGTACTTTTTCTTTATGTCTGCACATGTGAAGCGCGAACGATACACTCCACGTTTGATTTCATCGACCCATTTGAAATTGAAAAGTTTCGCTTTCCGCGGCATGTCTGCTTTCAACCTTGGTTTAGCGAAATCCTTTTCGATTAGCGTTGCCATCTGAATGTCCCTGGCTTTCTCGACTTCACGAGGGTCTAACCGAGTGTCAAGCAAATCAAGCACGGACGATATTTTCTGCTCCCATTGGCCATCGCGTGCCCAGTCTTGGATCTGCTGCAATGCACAAGTAATGCTGCCTACTTTCGGGACTTTGGGTGACGACTCTGCGGTTGCAGCTGCAGGCTCTGACGCTGCAGGCGCCGAACGTTTCTCGACACTTGCAGCTGGACGTGGCAAAGGGACGGCATTGATGCCTGTGGGTGTTGCCACCTCACGGTCAACTTGCATGGACCCGGAACCTCGAAAAGGGGACGCTGGCCTTGGCACCTCTTCTGCAAATGGCGACGGCGGCGTCGGGGGAGTCATCGTCATGCGATGCGAGCTGTCTGGGGTCATACCGCGTGCTTCCGACAAAGGCGTTCCTGGGGAAGGAATGTCGTGATGAACTGCTTGGGGATCAACACCCGGCGTGACAGGTGGACGCGGCAACAGAAGCTCGGATCTCTCATCCTGCTGTGCGGGACATGGCGCTGCAGGTTGATCCGGAGGTGCAGCTACTGGAGCTGGCACGGCAATCACGTGACTGGTTTCAGCTCGGACCTTGGCACGTTTGCCTGCAGGTGCCCAAGGCAAACCACATGCCGCATCAAGAAAGCTGACGTCATGCTGATCGTCTGCTGGTAATCGTCGTATGGTTCGCACGGTGACGGCACCTGCATCCGTCAACACAACTGCGGAATCATCCAGTTCGAGACGCCCTACGAACACACCCTTAAACCAACGTGGTTTAGCTTTGCTAATGGCCTTAACGTTGGGATCCTTGGCTAGCACGACTTCGCCAAACTGGACGATTGGAGTCTTGTACTCTCGGCCTGTCACAATGCGGAATGGTGTGAGCTTGTCGGCCTTGACATGGTACCGAGCCCACACGAATGCACACCAACGACACAACCAAGGAACTATTGGGTGATTGATGTCTATGGGCTCTTGCGGATGGGGAAAGTCTGCGTTCAATGCAGAAAGCCATGTGCGCAGCATTCCAGCCATCAACCGGTTCGTGTTTTCTGCACTGCCCTGGTCTGCATGGCTGTAACGTGGCGCTGCCTGGATGTGCACATGTGCATGTCCGAGTTCGCGCTGGACTTGCTCGGCCAAGCTTCGTCATGAAGACTCTTGGTCGTGTTGAAACGTTACTTTGGCATACCCCAAACGCTTTATCCATGACACTATGGCCTTGATGACGTAAGAACTTGGGCCTTTTTCAGGCACGAACACCATGAGAGGCCATCCAGAAGAAGTGTCAGTGGCCGTAAGGACTGTAGCTGTACGGCTTTCTTCTTCGACGAGTTGCCCGTCACGGCTGAAAAATTGATAATCAAACTGCAAGACTGGCACCTCAGCATCTGTGTTCTTGACCTGCCGATGGTGTCCAGACTCGGGCCCCTTGCCAGTAATGCAATGGCGGCACCATGGTGCGAAATCCGCATGGGTTAGGTTGTGCAATGCTCGCTTGTCATCTGTAAGCGCAGCGGGTGCAGGAAGATGACGTGGTTGAGGTGACGCAGGTTGGCCATCCAAGTCGACGTCGATGTTGCCATCCTCCGGAGCTGATTCTTCAGCGGGAGCGGCGGACGCATCATCCTCGTTGCGCTGTGCTGCAACGAAGGCGGGCCGCGCAGCACTGCTTGTTCGATCCTCAAACGGCATGTAAAACCGGGACCCAAACCGGGGCAGGACGATGGTGTGGTTGTCCGGGGTTTGGATGTGCGCTGGCTTGCCGGAGGATGAACGGTAGAAGTGCATGTCGCAATCGGCGTCATCTAAGATGCGGCAGAAAGCCATCACCGGTTCGGTGATGTCCGTGGCATCCAAACGAAACCTCGCAGGAATTTTGATGTCCTCTCCGTCGGCTGTTGTTGCCGAGAGGGTGGTGTGAGCTGCAAGCTCGCCCTGCTGCTGTATTGGCGTTCCGTTGATGGCCCACAGCTGCTTGCGTTTTGATGCGTCGA